AAGCATGGATTCCTCTTGGCCAGAGGGATTAAGAGGTTCCTTTTCTTTTTTTGTTGTTGTTGTTGTTTTATTTATAACAAAATGCAATAAAACATACACAAGCAGGATATATAAAAAATCTCACACACACACACAAAAAATAATCTCCTAAAACCGAATAATGATGTAAAAACAAAAACTAACGAGAGATTTACTCCAACACCATTAATAACGGTTTAGCATGTGCATAAATCCCTCACAGTCCAGGCCATATAACTAACATATTACTCCCTTACACGGCCCACTGGAGATTTCAATCTGCCATAATGGAAGTGTGTGTCTGCTTCAGCCAAGTTAACTGACACGAGCGAGCCACAGCTTACGGCAATTCATAACACCCTCCCTGTCTAACTCTGCTGCTCCATCACTACCTTTCTCTCTCATACAGGCAGGTTCAGACTGCTTAATAAGAGTGCCAAGATGATACCTGTCATATTTATATATTTATAGTCAGGACACACTGTGTTTGCAGGGACCAATATATCAACGCATTACACAGAGGAGTTACACTGTTAGAGTGCTATACTTGTTTGGTTTTAATCTTTATTTATCCAGATGAGGTCTGCTGAGTGGACATGTTGGGAATGTTGCTGAGTCTGCAGCAGCCTCCCTTCCCATTCATAAACACACTCACACTCTTACACACACACACACACACACACACACACACATACCTGTGTGATGGTGGCAGTGTTAGCCATTGAACAGCTACAGTGGGGGATTGTCATTCTTTCAGAAAAACTGAGAGACCAGCTGGGTCAGCAGCAGCCTTGTCACAGACTGAATTTTTACATTTGTCTGTTTTTTCTAATTTATAGTTTCATTTGGAAGAGATGACTTTGGATACGTAAACCTACCATTCAGTCCAAACCCACTACACATACAGAAATACAAGACTTACAAATGGCGAAGATGGAGAAAGAAAAATTAAAAAAAGAAAAATCTTGATATGCAAATTAGTTAGGTCAGGTCCAGGGAAGCAATGCAATCATTTTATTTCTAAATTGCTTTTTTGCGTGCTAAAACCTGCTAGCTACTTCTAGGTTATTACTTGTAGCAGGCTTGCTTAAGCTAATAGGAAGAGGCAGAGTCAGGTGGTCACGCTGTACTGATTGGAAGATATCCAATCACAATATGAGGCTAACCGCTTCTAAATACGGTCTGCATGCTTTTACTGGCATTAACATGCATTTACCCAAATACAGATTTTAATGCCAAATGTAAATGGGGTATATGACATCATCAGGGGTTAGTCTCTCAAGTTCCTCCTTCCCCAGCTGACTACTCATGACCAGTAAGCTGACCTTTATGTGTACAAAGACTGTCCGCTATTGTCAATCATATCAAAAAGAGCTCTTCTTGCTGGGGGGCAGAGAATGACCAGCAAATAAATATTCAACTCAATCAGAGGAGTGGGTGGGGTTGAGGGTGGATCTGATGCATGAGTATAGAAATAAAGCTGACAGCAAGGTGACAGGGAAAAACCAAGGCTGTGCATCAAAGTGTGACATGTAACAATGAGCCAGTAGACTCATAAGAGTCATGGGGGGAAATGTTGCAGACCAGAAACAACTGTTAGGCACTGGATGATGGTTTTCTTCTTGAAAAGATCTTGGAAAGAAGTCATTATGGGTTCATGAGTGCTATATATATAAAGGTTGTGTTCAGAGCAGGCTGTTGTGGAGGAAAGAGTCACTCCATCTTCCTGAGAGTGAATCAGAGCTAGAGGTATACAAGATATGTACACATCAGCCTGAGGGCTAGATTCTGGGGAAAAAGAGTAGATTTGAGTCTCAGCATCATAGTAAGGGTTGGTGTGTGATAGGTTGAGTTAACTGGAGTGAGAGGCAGATAGAGTCTAGGACTGAAGTCTACAGGAGTCCAGTGCTCTAGTCCACATACCTGATAAGCATAGTCATACAGATTCAAACATCAGACCCAAGGGCATGAGTTCACTAGACCTGCATTCTGCCAATCTGGGTATTATTTATGGTATAGTTGCAGGCCTACGCCCTACATTCAGATCTGCATTCCCAACTATTCACATCCCTGCTGTTTGAACTCATTTAAAGATATAAGCAAAATGCCAAATACTTGGACCCATATGCAGATATTATGTTAATCTGTTACATTTTGTAGCAACAGGTGTAGCAGGACCCTATCAGTACTGTAATTACACAAGTCCAGGGAAAAGGCACTGACGTAGACATGCACACTTGTACACAGGAGGGAAACAGGATGTCACAGTCATCAAAACCCCAGAGCTTTTACCCCGCAGTTAGAGTTCCTCCTGTGCTTGTACATCATCACATTAACCTAGGGTGAGTGCATCCAAAATGTGGCTTCTTATGCAACATGTGCGTGTGTGTGACTCTCTGTGACCTTTAATTGGAGTGTGACTGTTTTTGCAGAAGTGCCAACTATAGTTTCATAACTGGAAAATAAATTTCTTTGAAATATCTTAATACTTATATATACATATAAAATTATATAAATCCTATATAAGCAAGGTAATAAGCTGATCATAATACATTATTTATTTTATTTACAGTGTATATAATGTATAACAGTTTCCTGTTCACTCAACATTGATCCCGCAGATAAAAAAGAATTTCTTTCTGCAGAGATGTACGTGCTTTTAACTGAATGACAAAATGCAAATTTGCATCCGATGATCTACAGCCATCATTAATCTGTTTTATTTACTGGCACGATTTACTCAGTGTAACTGATTACAATTTCCCCTGATTTGGAAGTGTTTCACTCAGTTTAGGCGGATTAGTGTACCCCCAACACCTACCACTCTACTGATTGTGACAGCAGCCTGGATCTGTTTCAAACAATCAGTCAAACATTTATTTCAAAATGGTTTCAGCCAAACAGCAGCTAAGGATTCAGTTTAACCCGTCACTGCAGCTCTGTGTGTGTTGGCTGGTGTAAAGGCAGATACACATATAGAACATGAACTTGTACTTTTATGCTTTTTCCTGTAGATGTAGGTCAAATGAAGAGCTTATATTTGTATGCTTGAAATATGACTTACTAAAAATGAAAGCTCATTAAAGCAGACTCAATCCTTAAAAAAGAGGTATAGAAATGGATGGATGGCAATTATGAGGTCATGCATGTGTTGTATCATGTTCACCACTAGATGGCGACAGTAATCTAATGACCTGAAACGGTGGCTCCTATCACAGTATATCAGCATCCCATTGCTCCCTGTAACACTCCTTTGAATATAAGTTAAGAAATTTGACGAAATAAAATAAGAATTTGTCACAGAGCCTCAAGATTGTATTATATTACTTTCAGGTGATATTGTGCTTATTCCCATACAAAGTTATTATCTCTTTTATTACCACACTATGAATTAATTTCCACACAGTGAACCTTTGGGTGGCCTGTGTGTGTAAAGTCATTCCTACGTTCCTAGAGTCAATCTTTGTCCTAAACCAACCCATAGTGTAAACAGGAAGTCACTGTAGCATCATTTCCAAAAAAATACCGTTTTATGGGGCAAATAATAAAACATTTTACTTAACTGACAATCATTTGTAAATGTAGGTATGACTTTATTAAGCATATATATAGAAATATGTGCATTTAGTGTTACTAAGTTCAGTTAATATAGGGGCAGGGGGGCTGCTGACATTATTTGGTTATTTAGCTAAACATTTCTGGCATATTTTGTCATTTGAGGTGCTTTGCTGGATGTTTAAAAATGTAAAATGGATGTAAAATCTGACTAACTGGTATCATTATCAACAAGCATTTCATCCAGTGTCAGGTCAGATAAGCATGATTCAAACGATGTGGATCTGGGGAATTAAGTTTTGATTTGCTGGGAATGAATTACGGTAATATTAGTTGATTCAGGAAATGAGCTGATAAATAGCACACCTTTTAAATTACATTTTTTTTTATCTTTGGGGTGGAGGGAACATTGGAGGGCAGGTACAGTTCAAGTCCAAAGTGTGTGGTACTCAAAACTAACACTGACACTTCATCTTCTTTAAGGACCAAAAGATGAAGGCTGACTCTAAAATCATCCTCCCCAATTATTCTCCTTCACCTGAGCCTTGAGAATGGAGACATGATGGAGCATAAATGAGAGACAGAAGGACAGCAGAGGACAACAACCCACCTCATGTGCAAATGTGCATTTTGTGAACAGAGTCACTGGGTCGTCTGATAACAGATCAGCTCAGTTACAGTAGTAACATCTGACAAAGAGCTTAAGCTCTAAACTACTATTGAACACTGTGTAACAGTAACAGTAATGTAAAACAATAAAATAGAAACATTTAAACACAGAAAAGTATGTCTCAGTACATTGATTTACACATTCATGTAAATTCTGCAAAAACTCATTGGTGACTGAAAATACTCCTCCACTATCTGGTCACACCATTTCAGCCACTCAACAAATAAAACATTAAACCAAAGAGATACACTTTTTGAAAACCGTAATACCATTTAATATTTAATATATATTTATTTAAAGTCTTGGGTGAGCCTGCTGATGGACCTCGACCAGGTTTACAGCTGCGTCTGTGCAGGGAACTCAGTATTAATTAAGTATTAATATTAATTAATAATATTTTCATACTATAATAAATATATATTAATATATTTTATATATATCTACTATAAGACATTTGCCTAAAATTATGTGTGGACACCTCTACGTAAACTTCCCTAAAGAGCCAATCTCCAGGTAATTTCATTATAGGTTGTAGCGCCTGTCGGATCAGCTGTCTCAGGAGTCGGGAGATGCGTTCCAGTGAGGCAAAGTCCGACTCTGACTGACTGACTAACTTTAAAACTTCGGTACCGTGAGTACCTGGTGTGCATTTTGGTTTTGGGTGTGTTGTTTGCTGCACCGCGACGAGAGACGCTGGTTATTTGAGTTTATTTCTTATTTTGTGTTGGAGACGCGGTAAAACCTTATTTTGTGTTGGAGTCCGCGGTAAAACCCGGAGTTTTGAGTTGTTGTTTTGTGGTGGCGCATATACTGGACTGAACTGTGGTATTGTGTACTGTGGAATACTGGAACGGACTTTTCCAGAATGGACTGAACTGGGATTAACAGACAGACTGAGGCCTACTCACGCTGCATCCCTTCTTTTTCTTTTTTGCACTGTGCATAATAATTGTGAAAATATATATTTTGGAAATCGCATTGCTGGTTTGTTTGATTGCTTTTGTGGTTTATTGCTGTGTTTGATCTGCCTGGTTATTATTTTGTGTGGGTTAACTAAACTATTTTTGTTTTATTTTACTTTGTCAGACTTGACTCTGACTGGCACCCCAACATTAAATCTAGTCAACCCGCCACACACTACAAACTGTTTGACGCAGATGGTTTTTGTTCCACAGGAAGAACGTCCACCTCCAGTCTTGGTCGGCCGTTTTGGGTCTTCACTCTCAAAGTGACATGAACTCTCTGGACGTTCAGACCCGACAAGTCGATCGCATCATCATCAACAGACAGTACAACAGACAAACTAAACAGGCTGACATCGCCATGATGCATCTGCAGCAGCCAATCAACTTCACCCGTCAGTAACAACACTAAAATAAAAACACACTAACTATTCTCCCAATGTTATCAGCCAGTCGATTGGTCAGAGACCAAACAAAAGTGAATCTACCTACAGTTCAGTCAGCTATGTAACATAACTTACGATCTGTTCTAACCTAACCCTTACCAAACTGTGATCTCAGCGAGCTTTTGAAAGTGTAAGTGGATCCTCACGCTGCCCTCCTGAATTAATCATTAATGAAACAACTCCTGATTATTATAAATCAGTGTATGTATTGGTTTGTTTATAAACAGAAGAGATTTTATTTGTTTGTTTATAAACAGACTTGTTGTGTTTTCCAGAGTCCGTCCAGCCGGTGTGTTTACCTGCTGAAGGTCAGAATTTCACTGCAGGAAGAAAATGTTTCATTGCTGGATGGGGACGAGATGCTGAGCAGGGTGAGAGACATCAACACAAATATCTAAACAACAATGAACACAAACATCACTGACAGGGTCCCAGCAGGATGTTTTGTGATTGTATTTGTTGGTTAGAAGGGATTCAATCCCTCAACATGGTACCTCCAGAGGACCTTATGGTGGTCCAGACAGTTCAGTCTCGTTAGACGCCATTTATTGTGTTTGAGAACGTATGCTTTAGTTTAGATATTCTTCCAGACTGCTGTAGGAGGAACATCTATTTCATCAATCAGTGACCAATCGAGTCATGCAAGAATAGAATTTACTTACTTTAAACGGTTCACACAAGAAAATGCTCTTTTGAGGTTGAACGTCACTTAGCAGAGTTTCACAGACAAACGTGAGCTGGATTGTGTGAATGTGTCAGTCTGATCTCTGGGATACAGATCAGAGGTTGCTTCTATTGAAGAACGTCCAACCTTATGAGACCTGGTTCTCCACGAACCTCACAGGTTGAGACAATGACATCATGTGTGGAACATTTCAGTGTTTGTTGTTTGTGTTTGTGAGAAAATGTCAGTTTTAACTGTGAACAGTTATATATTCACCTGTATGTCTCTATCTGTCTGTCTTTACCTGTTTGTCTCTCTCTGTCTGTCTTCACCTGTCTCTCTCTACCTGTCTCTCTCTACTTGTCTGTTAGGTTTTCTCCCTGATGTTCTACAGGAGGCCCAGGTTCCTCTAGTGGATCAGAATCAGTGTCAGCTGCAGTTACCTGAGTACACCATCACCTCCAGCATGCTGTGTGCAGGATTCCCAGAGGGAGGAGTCGACACCTGTCAGGTAACGTCTCCTTCACATGACATCACTTCCTGTCTGTAGTGTTAAAAACAAGCAGGCAAAGGGCAACCTTTTACAGCATTCTGTCGAGTCCAATCAGCTGATAATGATCCTGATCAGCCTGATCAGTAATCAACAAACACATTATTAAAGCAGTAATCAAACTAATAAGTCAACGTCAGACAACCTTATC